ATCATCATGATGTAAAGTTATATGTCACCTGACTCCCAGCAACTCTGGGTGATTTACAAATTGTTAAAAACACTTAAAAACAAGGAAACAATAAAAACAAAAAAAGAATAAAGATGGCAGAAATGACAAAACTAGATGGGAACAAAGCAAAAAAAGGGAGGGCTTCAATGTTGTTTGATTTTGGTGGAATATTGTACTTTTTCTATTGAATGAGCAGTGGAAGGGCATGAAGAATACCCATCATAGATGATGTTGCAAAGGAATGTTGACTGATATTTGTGAGGAGGTATTCTAGAAAAAAGAAATAGGGAATAACAGGTAGTAATCTGCTACAGTTTACTCCCCACACCCCAAAAGCATCCTAGCTATGATATTCAATGTTATTTCATTCTCACTGACATCTGAAGAATCAGGCAACTCAGAGGATTTTTTTACTTTCTTCTTCATTCTGTTAATTAAGATTGTTAATTAAGTTTCATTGTTTTTTTTTCCCTTATGGGCAGCAACCAGCTATTCTTTGGCATTGGAAATATTCTTTGTTCTTCTTTAGCATCAGGAAGATACTGATATGTGCATATTTTTGTGCTGCCTTTGATTCATTGAAAAATAGAACTGATCTTAGTCAATGATGGACTAAGAATGGAAGATGATGAACAGAATGGAAGAATAAATTTCAAATGATTTAGGAGATTAGCACAAGACTGAGGGCATGGAAGCCAGGGGTTTCTGCTTATGAGAGATGCTCTTTGCCATTCTGGAAACCATTTAAGAAATGCATAGGGATTTATAGTACAGAACAGTCAAGGAGACTATTCTTTTGACTAAACAGTGTTTGGAAGTAGATGATACTTTTTAGGGCACTTCCATGCGTTGATTCAGAGCCTCTGGCTTCACTATCCAAATGGATGGCAACAGTTTTGCATTGTCACACAAATGTCCAGAAAGGCTGCTTTCTTGAGACATCCAGTGCTCCCTCCAGCCAATCTGGGGCCATCAAAAACAGGAGTCAGGTTGCATGGCCCCTCTGTTCTACTTCATCCTTGCTCATAGGTTAAAAAAAAAAAAAAAGGCAACCCAGCTATCGTTGGGGGAATAGCAAGTCCGCTCTTCCAATCATAACGGAAAGATGGGAGAAGAATTCAGAGTGACTTGGCTTCCAGAGAGATAGTAGAACTTCCAAAGACAGAAAGACAGACAAGATGGGACTTCCTACCAACGGGAAGCTGCCCCACCCTGCCGTTCTAAAGGAAGTGCTTTGGAATTATTGTCAAAGCAGTTCCTCTGGAACAGGGATTCAGCTTCCAGAATAAGTTGCATTGGCTTTCCAGGACTGCTGGAAGTTCCGAAATATTTTGAGTACATTTGTCAGGTTATGCATCTTTACCATAAACAGTATTCTGCCTTCTGCCAACTGAATGTAGGGATGCCCATATGGTTTTCTCAATGCCCTGTTGAGAAAATACTTTTGCCCAGGTATGCCAGCTGGACATTTAACAGTAGCAACATTGTCTGAAAAACAAGGAGTTTTCTCTTTTTTAAAAAACTCATTTGGAAGCGGTTGTTTTATCAAAGCAGCTTTGCTTTCCTCTCCTTCAACAAGGAATGGTCACATATTAATATTTGATTTTTCCCCTTTTAATAAAGTTTGATTTTGTTTATCTCTTGTATCAAAAGGGGGGGAAAGAGTTCTGAATCCTCTACTCATGCACCATAATGCTATACTGCCAGGTTTTTAAAATTATTTCATTCTTTCCAGTTTTACCTCTTATTTGCCATCTGGTGAGATGCCTCCAAGCAGCTACAGAAAGGCAGAAAGCTAAGAGGAAAAAACATGATCCTTGTGTCTTTCCTTGTCCTCTTCTTTCATGCCCTTAACTGGAGGACTGTCACCTCCAAAATCTGTTGAGTGTCTCATTCAGGTTTGCAGAGAGATCCTTCATCTACTGGGAAGCCTCAGCAACTCCTGTTGAAGAAAATCAGCTGACCATTCTGGGCTGCTAAGTAGCAATCTGCCTGTAACAGTCAAGTAGGCTGATTTTGCTCATTGCGCTAAACCATGATTTGTTTATTATGGCTTATTATGGAAATCCTAGTTGGCTATAGTGGGACAGCACTAAGCCACCCTTCTTACCAAGTTGATCTATGATGTCTAGAATTCCTAGCTAGCATAGTTGGGGGTTTGGGGGATTCTATACTAGCACATCTAGAGGATACCAGGTTGCAAAAGCCAGAATTAAATAAACAGCCATGCTGGAAATACTCAAGGGCAAAATGATTTTTTTTTAATACAGTATTCAGCTGGAATCTTTTGGTCACTTTTATGTCTTTTCCCATTAAATTTATGGCATGGGAACTGCTATAGCATAGGTCCTGACCAGCATTGCACAGGACCCTTAAACAGCTCAAAGGTGCTTCCCCGGACCTGACTTCTGGAAACAGGTAAAACTGGAGTATAGAATTATTGGTTGGGCTTTTCAAGCTATTCCAGCAATATCCCATTAATTCACTTACATGTATTTATCCTTCCATTTATCTTTACACTTCTCAAGGCAAAACTGAGTGTTTTTAGCCTACACATAGTCCCATCATGACTTCACAAGCATAATGCTGTCTCCCTTGTTAAGGCTTACCAATACTTTGTGGCTGCTCTAAAACTTATATTTTTAGCTGTGTAAATAAGTTAAGAGTTAAGACCTCTTAAGAAAGCATTTTCTAAGTTGTGTTGTATTTTAGATCAGGGGACTGACAGCAGCAGATTTCTCCTTTATTTCAAGCTCAACTTTAAAATAAACTGACTTTTATAAAGTCGCACTTGGGTATTTAGGTTGTGTCACCATAGCTACTCAACACACAACAGGTAAGACTGGAGTAAAAGATAACAAATGTAGGCCATGTAATACTGTCAGCCTATATAACTGATTGTCAACAACATGATTTATAGAAACAAGAGGAATTTTTAAAGTAGCACTTCAATGCTCTCTTTCAAACTATAGTTTAAGTACAGCAGTATGGTTTATATCCATTATAAAATCAGGCAGATCTCTGAGCATTAAATTTACTTCAATAATCTCATGGTCTCTTGCATGAGAGAAAGGTAGAACTTCCTGAAATTAAATCTAAATCTAAATGTTACGCATCCAATGTGGTAGATGATTAACTTAAAATCTATGTATCTCAAATTCAGAAAATTTACTTTGAAGTTCAATGTACTTTAAGATAGGCTATTAAATAATGTCTATGATTAATTACTCCATTTTCTATAATTGATAATACTATAAATTGCTAAAAGGGGAAAAAAGCCAAAACAAAATCTATTTTATCATTTGTTTGTTTTTTTTGTTTTCAGGAGGCCCATAAATCAAAAGCTGGATTTATACTTTGCACTACATTTCTTAATCCATGATCTACTGAACTAACTACATGGCAAGGCTTAGACAACATAGCAAATGACAAACAAGCAAAACACACTATGGATTAATGTTAGTCCCATTAACTTTCTAGGATATGAAATGTGATCAATGAGGTTCAAGAGCCAATTTTACACACCAATGTCCAATCCATATTGCATGGTGGATATGCCAAATTCCTTTTCAAATGTACGTCTAAAAATGCAATGTTATTTTATTATGTTTAGACAATTTATATAGCTGCTTACCTCATCTGATTGTTCTCCCAGGCCTTGGGTTAGGATGCTAGTTGAGCCCCTTTGGTTTTGTTTTGTTTTTGTTTTTTTGCTGTTTGGTCTTTCCAGTTCTGTCTTCTGATCAGTTGTTTTCTTTTTCTTGTTATGTTTTGTTTCCTTTTAATTTCTTATTTGTAAGCTGCCGAGAGCCATCATGGAATTAGTCAGCCTCGAAATTGAAACAATCAATGAATCAATCAATCGCCAAAGTGACTCTAGGTGATGTACAGAGGATTAAAAGCCAAAACCAAAAACAAACAAACAAACAAAAAAATACTCACCTCATACCCAACAACACAATTTGAAAAACAAATATCCAGAAACAGTAATGTAACACAAGCGGGGTGTGTGTGTGTGTGTCAAAAAATCATTCCGCTTATAGTGAGTGAGACAGTGACTCAACCAATCAAGCAACAAGGCTCACTTAACTTCCCAGCCCAAATGCCTGTGGGATCATCCAGGTCATTACTGACATAAAAAAGCCAACAGGGTTGGGGCCCATTTGGATCTCTGAAGGGATGCTGTTCTACAGGGCAGGCAGAGTGACAAAGAGGACACTCTTTCTGGGTCCCACTAGATGACACTGCCTAACAGGTGGGTCCTGAAGCATGCCAATCCTACTGGTTTTGGTGGGGTAAGCAAAGGTCCTGTGAATAACCTGTCTCTCTGCTGTGAATTGACTAGTATTCAAAAACACTTATACGCTACACAATACCTATAAGCTACACTTACTAGGATTGGCATTACTTGTG